TCTGAGCGTACCTTGTTATCAGAGGCAGTCCAAATTAAGGTCAATTCTACAACGTAGTAGTTTATGTTTTGTACAGGTACGATAGTGGTCAGCTAGCTTACTGACACTGCCACAGATATTATCAGCCCAGTGGCTTTACTCATATTCATTCTCAGCAGGACTCTTCTCACATCTGCTGTGGATACTGACAGTGGCCAGTCCTCTGTAGGTGGTGTAGACTTAACAGCTGACTCTTTGTTGAGGAGATCAGAGCTAGCCTTGCTTATGCAAGGTAATGGGGCAAGGAAATGTCCCCCATCATGTGTGAGGCCACATTACCTTGGTATACATGTATGCATGTGTATGTACTTGTATATCACATCCACCTCATGTACATGTACATACTCCTGCATCTTTTGCACTCTGCTCACTGTACTATTTATCGATGTCTATATTGTTTTTGTTCATGGTGTGTAAATTTATGTTGTCTACACTGAAGTCTGTGTCTGACTTTATTTTATTCTTTTTATACTGATTTTGTATTTTTGTATGAGTAAGCACATCGTGAGCAATGTACAATCCAGAGTCAAATTCCTCGTATGTGTACACATACCTAGCAATAAAGCTGATTCTGATTCTGAAGAGAGTACGATCAAAAATAACACCTAACTTCCTGGCCATTCATGTCAATTATCCACATTGTTTTTTTTCATATCCCTCCTCAACAATAATTTTTACACATCTTCACAATTTTACACAAACTCATAACTTACTTGTGTAAAATCGGCCCCTTTAAAGAGAGTATCACAACTTTAAAGTCACATGAGACATCCACAGGAAAAGGACACATTACCCTGCAACACAATCCAGCTCCAGCCTCCGAATCTACAAAAGAGTTGAAAGAACATTAAAAGCTTTGCAAACGACATATTTGTTGCAAGTCTATTTTAATGGATTGTATTATATAATTATGGCCCCTAAAGTCAACTTTCAAATGTACTCGCCTACCTGATGAGCTCAGAAAACTGATTAAGGAAAGTGATGCACTCTCCACAGTAAGAGAAAGAGTTTAACTGAGAACACTACAACCTGAGGGACGCTTCAGTAGCTGTAGTCAATTTTAGCCAGCAAATCTTTTGATTCCTGTAGGTCCCATTTTAAGTATTCCTTTTGATGACTTATTTTATATCTTCCTTCATTACATTCCCTCTCATATAAGCTTTTTGCATCTTCAGCGGGCATGTAATTATCCATGAATCCAAGGGGAAAATAGCCTCTGTGCAATATGGGCATCCTAAGTGTTGCGAATATTTGTCTCATCTATTTTCTAATTCAAAGAGTCAGAGGCCCCTTTGGAATTCCCACCTCTCATCTCCCATGCTTTTACATGCTCTTTGCCAAGGTTATTTCTTTATTTCTCTTTTTTTTGCCAATACGTTTACAGCCGGCTGTGGTGCTGGTTAAGTTTTTGACAGAGGATGAGGGTGGTTATTCCATCAGAAGGGCCCGTCACAACAAATCCCAAAGTGCAGAAATGAAGATTAGTGATTGCCTGACCCAGTGGAGCCTGAAATCAGGATTGACACAAAGAAATGTCTTGTCAAATGAAAAAGAACTCCAGAAACATTTAAACCACATTTTCTTAAGCGGCCGTTTACAGATATCTGGTATTTAGTTGAGAGATAATGTATCCAGTGCTCAAGTGCGGGAGATTAATTTTGCAACATGATTAATTATGTAAACAGTGTTATCAGTGTGAGATGCTTAAAGATCGCTACAGCCAGACATTTGGATTCTGTCAGAATCACCTTATTTTCCCTCAGTAATTGAGAGCCAGTGTCCAGCAACAAGGTTGTTCAAGGTTGCTGCTCCTCTGTGGGCTCTGATACGGGGAGCTACATGGTCAGTACAGGAGGCAGACTCAACCATATTCCTCATTTCAACAATAAACAAAGTTGTCATCCTAAAATAAAAGAGAAAACGTGCGTGTCCAGTTCAGTTTAGTTATTTTCAGTTGGACTGGTGTGAAAGTTGTCAATCAAACTCTAATTAACAATACTGTAATCAACCTTTAATAGATTACATTTATCAATTAACAAAATACAAAGTGGGTGAACAGAAGAAAAATCTAAATTAAAACAGCATCAGTTCTTCTAGGTACACTTGCACATAGTTTTTGAAGGTAGGTTGGCCCAAACATCTTGGAGAAATCCCCACAGTCTTTCTGTGGATTTAGGCAGCCTCAGCTGCTCTGTGGGTGCTATACCTTCGCTTCCATGACTCCTTGTTCTTCTTTAAGCTGAAGCTAGTTCTTAATGACTTTCACTGTATTTTTGGGCTCGTTGTCGTGCTGCCAATCAGATGCCTCCTTGATGGTACTGAATGTATAACTTAACTCCACCTTCTCACTTCAACACTTTGGCAAACAAACTGCCTTCTGCTGCAGGCAAAGATTTCAAATGTTGACTCATCGGTCCAGAGCACCTACTGACATTTTTCTGCACCCCAGTTGCTGTGTTTCCTGCATAGTTGAGTCGCTTGGCCTTGTTTCCATGTCGGAGGTATGGCTTTTTGGCCAAAAGTCTTCCATGAAGGCCACTTCTTTCACCAGTAGATGGTGTTCCAGGGTCCCACTGTTTTGCAGCTTTGAGCTGATGGTACTGCTGGACATCTTCCGATTGTGAAGAGAAGTGAACATGATGTGTCTTATCCTAGTCTGCCTTGAAATGTCTAGGAGAGACCTTGCTGGTGCTGTATAACTACACTGTGTCTTGTTGCTTGTGTGGTGTATGACTTTTGACAATAAACTTCAGCAGCCTCACCTTGCTAGCTGAGTTTGGCTGTTCCTCACCCAGTTGTATTCTTCCTATACAGCTGTTTCTGTTTCACTTAATGATTGTGTTTAAACCTACATATTGAATTGGTGATCATTAGCACCTGTTTGGTATAATTTTTTAAGCATACACCTGAAAATATGCCTACAAAATCCCTGAGTTTGTGCAAGTGTACCTAGAAGAAATTTCCCTGTACCCCGTAAGTCAAGCATTAGTATTATACTTCTTACTTAAACTCTTAGTGAGCCTGATTAGTAATCAGAAGCAGAATTATTGAATGTTTAATGTATCCACTCAGTCGCTGTTTAAATGTGGCCATGCAACCATGATGGCCACATGGAACAGAGACAATCACAGGGTTCATATCCACACACCCTGCCAGTCATTTGTTGTGACACATCATTTGTCAGATGTCAGAGCAGCAGTCAGAGCTTCACAGGACAGGAAGCACTGTGCACTGCGCTGATGACAACATTACTACAAGCCACACAGCATTAATAATAATATGTCAACTCAATATTATATACTGATAATAATTTCTATGTTACATGATAGTCAACTACTCCTGTACTGAAGTGAATGGATTAGCATTAAAGAAACTACATTAGCTTTAGCAAGCTGGAAGACCTGATGGTTCCCCACTATAAATTCCCATTTCAAAATGAAATATATATATTGAAAGCATGTGGTAAATATATATATTTTACACATGCTAAGCTACATTGTTTTGACTGGGCATGAATACTCCGCTGTGAAGGTAGAGCTTATGGGAGAAAGGGTTTCCTGTGATTTTTAATAAAATAAAAGTTGTTTTTTTATATGCTGTATTACGTTTTTGCGTCATGCCCTGGCTCCTGCACCTCTTATCTAAACAAAACGGAGTATTTCCAGTAGATCAAATAAAAATAATAAGTTCCTGTTTATGTAACTTTAGTATAGCGTCTTCTACTCGTTAATGCAGAGTTGGTCCAGACTGTCAAAAGATAGTTAGCAGCTACGAGACGTGAAAGGTATTTCGCAGCCATTCAGTTTTATGCTATTTTAATGGACTGACTTGTAGCTTCTAACTAGCTTGCTTTTCACAGTCTGGACCAATGTAACTGAAGGGACACTAAACTAGAGAACAACGTGTGTGTATGTGATACGGACAGTTTGTGTATGTGTGCGTGTGTCTTTCTTCTGCTGTCATTGTGTCTGATGTGCACAAGCACATGTGGACAGACAAAGAAAGAATGTGCAGTGGGAACTTTAACTCTCTGCATGTGTGTGGTTGTGTTTCAGGCCAAATCTGAGGTTTATGTTTATGTGATCTGTGTAGCAGTGCCAAGTCAAAAGGAGTTAGTTAGCATGCAAAGACTGTCTGTGTGAAGCATGCGGTGGCGGTCTAAGAACTATGATTATATAATAATCTCGCATAAACAATGATCACAAGTATAAAACCTCAATGAAAACCCATTAGTATACGTTAACCAAAAGCTAACAGTCACACCCCGAATACACAGCTGGCCAATCACAGCGCAGTATAGGTCTCGCTCTAACTGAGGTCCGATACTTTCATGGATGTGCTCCATTGACTCCCATAATGCCTTTTCTTCAGCACTGAGAACCACAGGTCCAGTGAGGCCCACAACTTACTTTCTCATATAATCTGGAGTTACAGTACGTAACTACCCTTCTACTTCATATAGGCTTCACTCTCTAAGACTATCGCTATTTGGTTAGAGGTGAAGCAGGATCAGTCAACACCTCACTGGCTCATACGGTACCACCAAGCACCTGCCAAGAGCCAACGTAATAAGCCACCCAGTCCCCCACAGCCTTGTGGCATTCGTGACGGCATATGCGCATTCACTGATGACGCAATATGGGGGTGGGGGCCAAAGCAACCCATGCGTAATAGGCCAGGGATGGGAAGGGGGGCCCCACAGCTGTGCAAGTGCAGACAAAGGCTATGCATCGCAACCGTTCCAGCTGTGCACAGAGCAGGGCCAGCGCGAGCAGCGCCCACTCCCCTACCATACAGTTGGGAGGAGACACACCACACACTCACAGAGGACATAGCTCGGCACACCTCCTTGAGCTTCTTCCCCTCTCTGCTGCCAGTTTGAAATACCATATTTTCTGCTTTAGGATGATATCTGTTATGGCAGGCTAGGTGAACGGACTCAAGAGCGGACTCGGGGCAGGTTTAAATCCAGGAATTTAAAGTTTATTGAAAAACGGGGTGTGAAAGTGGAGCAGAGGGCAGACCAGGGAATGGAGACCAGCGAGTGGATTTCCAGGCGGGCAGTGAGCTGAGCAAGGCAGGGGCAGGATCTCCAGGCAGGCAGGGAGCTGGGTGAGGCAGTGGCAGAATCTCCAGGCAGGCAGTGATCCTGAGCACAGAGAGACAAGGTAAGTTAAACTCACAACAAACAAACAGAATATACAATTTGAGATTTGTAGGCCGCAGCGCAAATACCACTGAGGTAAGCTGACGATCTGGCAACGAGTGAGGTGAAGAACCGGGTTGATATACTGCAGAGTTGATTAGTGGAATGTGGATCAGGTGTGCAGGTGGAGGTGGAGCGCCAGGCCCAAAGTGAGAAGCCACGCCCAGACAACACAGACAGACTAACAGGAGACACAGGGAGGGAAGAGAACATAAACACAAGGGGTCGGGGGAGGAGAAATGCAGACTCATAACAGATATCATCTGTGGCTGCATGGGAGAGATGACTCTTTCTCACAGGATCTGTAATCACACAAGGAGATTTTCATACAAAATTTCATGAACCCCCGTTGCAACCAAATGTTTTTACAAAAGGATACACGCTGACCACCACATATTGATTTTCGATTTTCTTTTTTTTACTAGGCCTATTTAAAATCGTATTTGATTGCAGAGCACCGTAGCGCAGCACATCCTCTCTCTCGCTCACTCGTCTCTCTTTCATGAAGACCGCTGGACAAATCCGTCCAGGACAACGCTGGCAATGTCGGAGACCCAGCTTAAAAAAGTTGCATGTAAGGAGCCTAGCTAAGGTTAGCCCAGTGTAAAGACTTGAAACAGGTGGAAATGCATTAGGTGCGTTGGCTGAGTTAATATTGATACATGCTGGACTAGAAATTGTTGGTTAGAAATTGTGTCCGACTTTCGCCGGCAACTTGATCTAGTCGGTTGGAGGCATGTCATCATGTGCCGATTAGACCATGAAATATCACCCAGGAAGGCTGGTTGGAGTGAAAGATCCATGTGTTTTAAGGCTTGTTAGATGTCAAAACACTGTATAACTGTTTATAATACTATGAGAAACTATATAACAACTCTGGAAAGTTGCCGCACCAAAAAGTATTTTATCTTGCATGACAACAACAATCACAATGTAACAGTCTGGTCAGAGTCTACCAGAAATGTGTATTTGCATTAAGACTTCAGTTTTTTAGCCAACAGACCCTGCAGTGTTTTCTGAAACCCCCTGCGTTGACTCCCAATCCTCTGCGTCGATTAATAAGCATGGTTAAATGTAAATGCTCGGTACTTGTATAGCGCCTTTCTAGTCTTTTTGACCACTCAAAGCACTTTTACATTACATCCACACACTGAGCCTAAGTGCTCAAACAGAAACTAACATTCACACACCGGCGGAACAGCCGCCCAACTTGGGGTTCAGTATCTCGCCCAAGGACACTTCGACTTGCAGCCTGGGGGAGCTGGGATTGAACCGCCAACCTTCCAATTAACAGCCAACCAGCTCTATCTCTTGAGCCACTGTCGCTGTTTTTTTTTTTTAAAGTAGTGCTAATGCCAGTTTCAACACTGACTAAGAATGCTGTATGACTTCAGATTGTTTTAAATATATATTACAATTACTTACACAGGATCAATGTCTCCAGTGCCATCTGGCACAGAGATTTTTTTCTCAGTGATCCCTTTCCAATTTATCCTCTTCCCGACATCATCATGGAACATGTGGGAAAGGATGTCCCACGTGGCATGTTTGCCGTTGTGGCCCCTCTGGCTTCCAGGAATAAGATCTAAAAAGAAAATTAAAGCTGCAAGCAGCGTTGGGCGGGCCCTCGCACTTGTAGCACATCCGCGCGTGACTCGGCCGAGTTGCATATTCTGGAGCTCTGCCGGTGCGGCTGTGAATTTCCTACGCGGTTCCGACGCCGCATGAAGGTGCTATATGTCACTTCCTGTGTCCCCTATGTGGAGCTACATAGCACTTGCCGCTATGAATATAAATCGGTATTGGCGTGTAGATGTCTGCGGGGTGGGACAGTTATCAAGCACGTAAAGTTTGTTTCAGATGTGAGTATGTACACTGAACAATAATGTACCCAAACAATAAAATAAATTCCTTTTATATTTCCCTGCCTTGTTGTTTATGTGTAGATACAGAGGAAGAATGTGAGAACAGCACACATTTCATCGTTACTGTGTGTTAGAGCATGGGAGAACAGTGGATACTTTTAATACAGCCCACACCCCTAATACTGTGTAACTATAACAATTAGCGACTTATACGTTCACAGAACTGCAGGAAAGTGAGCTGTTGTTTCTGAGAGCCACATCAGTTAGCCACATCAGTTAGCCACAGCTAAATCTGGAGTGCACTCCTATTCGAGTATTTACGGTAAATGCTCCCACACGGAGCAGCTCCTTGCTCTGCTGTTTTCAGCTGCTGTTTCAACAAAAACGCCATTCAGAACATAACCATATTCTTCAGAGGAAAAGAAGAAGGAGGAGAAGGAGAGCAACAAATAACCCCCAAACAATAAAATAAATTCCTTTTATATTTCCCTGCCTTGTTGTTTATGTGTACATAGAGAGGAAGAATGTGAGAACAGCGCACATTTCATCGTTACTGTGTGTTAGAGCATGGGAGAACAGTGGATACTTTTAATACAGCCCACACCCCTAATACTGTGTAACTATAACAAGTAGAGAACAGAAGAAAAAGATGTTCTTTCTTTACAACTGTCTGCATAGCTTATTCATATTGTGTAATGAATGAAAATAAATAGGCCTACTAGGCTCCTCTCTACTTTGACATTTAAGATTAGCTTGTTTGATCCACCTTCATACACATGTGACATTACTGTACAACTTGAGAAAGGTGAGTTGTTTTCTGCTCCAGCCTGCCTAAAAGAAAAGCGTTTTTGGGATTAAATGGACTTTATTAGCTGCTGCAGTGCAGGATGAACTCAGAATAGACCCATTTCTCACCTTATTATTCTAAATCATGCAACGAAGAAGAAGAAATGCATAATAAATCCTGGGACAAAATCTGTCCACAAATACTGTACAGCATGTAGTCTGATGAACAAGACTTGTGTTATAGCTGACTTGGGCAGTGAAATGTTTAATTTTTTTAATTCATGTGGTCATAGTTGTCCACAACTCAAATCAGAATATAAGAAGAAATGTTTTATACCACCTCAAGAAGGCTTCCTATCAGAAAGGTAGGAAGGTATTTCAAATGTACAACTGCAGTCCTGAAATCTAAGTAAAGTAATTTCCCTGACATTTTTGTGTTACTTTACTTTTAATAGACGCATGTAACAGGTTTTATACTTCCTGTGAGTATAATCCAATCAATCTTATTTTCATACTGTATATCCGATGTGTAATTTGATAAATTGTGTTGTATGTCGTGCTCGCATCTCAGAGAAGACTCTGACTGCAACATGCGTCTTTGTAAAGAGAGAAACGGACAGAAAAAGTCTCTAACTCTGTCTGTCAGCTCGCTCTGCTCCGTTAAAACTGAATTTACCATGCAGAATTGAATACGAGTGCACTCCAGATTTAGCTGCAGCCAGCTGACCGTGTGCTTCTCCCTATACCGCAGTTCTGTGTCCATGCATGCAGCAAACTGAAAGCACTGTCTGTTGGAGCGTCTACATGAAAAGAGAAGGAATACATTGCTGGTAGTATTGTCTTCAGAGTTGTTAAACACCTCAGTGCACTGAAGGAAGCCATCTGACTGTGTGAGGGGCAAGATCGTTGATGTCTGCAGGCAGAGTAGGAGCTCTCCTGTCTGACTGGTCCACCAATAGCAGAGAAGATGACCCCTTGAGTTATCAAGCACGTAAAGTTTGGTTCAGATGTGAGCATGTACACGTAAGTTACAACAACTTCCTGTGTCATGGCGAAGACTTGATCTCTGACGCCACGCCACGGACACACCCATTGACGAAAACTCGCAAATAGCACAACTTTTCATCTTCAATGCCTTTAGAAGGCACAGCACAAATTTGAAATCGATCGGACTAAATCCCTAGGAGGAGTTCGTTAAAGTACGAAGTGTGTAAATCATCCAAAATTTGACGTAAAATTCAAAATGGCCTACTTCCTGTTAATTTTAGGGCATCGCTCCAAGAGGCTTTTTTGTGCGTCTGGACAAGATACACGTACCACAGAAAATTCGTGCACGTAGGTGAAACGTGCGGCGGGGGCTGCTTCGTTTAAAAGTCACTTCCTGTTGCCAGCAGGTGGCGCTATGACTGTGGGTGAATGTCAGCATGTACATGTGTTCAGGGCGGGACTCTCATCCTACATGTACAGTTTGGTGCAGATGTGAGCATGTACACTGAAGTTACGACAACTTCCGTGTCATGGCGAAGAGCTGATCTTTGACGCCACGGCACGCCACGGACACGCCCATTGACGAAAACTCGCAAATAGCACAACTTTTCATCTTCAATGCCTTTAGAAGGCACAGCACAAATTTGAAGTCGGTCGGAATAAATCCCTAGGAGGAGTTCGTTAAAGTACGAAGTGTGTAAATCATCCAAAATTTGACGTAAAATTCAAAATGGCCTACTTCCTGTTGATTTTAGGGCATCGCTCCAAGAGGCTTTTTTGTGCGTCTGGACAAGATACATGTACCACAGAAAATTCGTGCACGTAGGTAAACGTGCGGCGGGGGCTGCTTCGTTAAAAGTCACTTCCTGTTGCCAGCAGGTGGCGCTATGACTGTGGGTGAATGTCAGCATGTACATGTGTTCAGGGCGGGACTCTCATCCTACATGTACTTTGGTCCAGATGTGAGCATGTACACTGAAGTTACGACAACTTCCGTGTCATGGCGAAGAGCTGATCTTTGACGCCACGCCACGGACACGCCCATTGACGAAAACTTGCAAATAGCACAACTTTTCATCTTCAATGCCTTTAGAAGGCACAGCAAAATTTGAGGTCGGTCGGACTAAATCCCTAGGAGGAGTTCGTTAAAGTACGAAGTGTGTAAATCATCCAAAATTTGACGTAAAATTCAAAATGGCCGACTTCCTGTTGATTTTAGGGCATCGCTCCAAGAGGCTTTTTTGTGCGTCTGGACAAGATACACGTACCACAGAAACTTCGTGCACGTAGGTGAAACGTGCGGCGGGGGCTGCTTCGTTAAAAGTCACTTCCTGTTGCCAGCAGGTGGCGCTATGACTGTGGGTGAATGTCGCATGTACATGTGTTCAGGGCGGGACTCTCATCCTACATGTACAGTTTGGTCCAGATGTGAGCATGTACACTGAAGTTACGACAACTTCCGTGTCATGGCGAAGAGCTGATCTTTGACGCCACGCCACGGACACGCCCATTGACGAAAACTTGCAAATAGCACAAC